CTCCTCCTCCTCCTCCTCCTCCGCCTCCTCCTCCTATTCCTCCTATTCATTCCTCCTATTCCTCCTCCTCCTCCTCCTCCTCCCTCCTTCTCCTCTTCCTTCTCCTCCCGAGCCGGTCCCCGTCCGGCGCCTGCGCCGCCGCCGGGGGCCCTCCGCGGGCTGCGGCTGCGGCCCTGTCGGGAGGACGGCCGAAATTCGAGGATCGAGGTTCGCTTCCATGAGATCCAGTTGTTGCGGCCACGTTCGCAGCGGCGCGGCGTGGGAAGTCGTGCGACGAGACGCGCGCCACAACGAACGCACGCACGCCGCACTCATGCACGCACGCACGCACGCACGCACGCGCGCACACACACAACCACAAGCACAAACACAAACACAAGCAATAACACAAGCACAAACACAAACACATATTTACGTACGCACACATGCACATACTTTCTACGTCGGCGGCTAGGCAGAGTCACTGCGCTGGCGATGGAGCGTTAGTGGGATGCACAGAACGCAAAATTGGGCCGCCATGCACGGGGGAGAGAGGACGCCCGGCGCGGGCAGGAGGGAGAAGGGAGAAGGACGCCGAGCCCGAGCGGGGCCAGTCGGCGGCGGGGGGGCCGCCGGGAGCGGGGACCAGCGGCAGCGAGGCGGCGGCTGGGGGGTACGCAGGGCAGGGCGGCCGCCGGAGGCAAGCGCCCAGAGGTCGGCCTGAAAACCAGAAAGCGGGGGAGGCGCAAGGGGGCACGACCAGCGAGTGCCCAGCGGGTGAGAGACTGGGGGCGGAGGAAAAGCGTCGTGGGTTCAGAAGTCGCAGATGACCTGCAAAGCAACTCCGAGACGGCGCATGCCAGACCCACCCGCCGGGGACGCCCAGACTGGGCGGAGCAGTCCCAGGGGATCGCAGGCAGGCGACGAGGAAGGGGCGGGAACCCTGGGGGCGAGGGTGCCGAGGTCCCGCGAGAATGCGAGGCGCCCCCGGCCCAAAGGACCACCCCTGGGTGGGGTGCTGGAACGCGGGGACTCGGGCGCGGAGCAGCGCCAGGGAGCGACCCAACGCGAGCAGGAACCGAGGGCAAAAACGCGACACCCCGAGTGCCGAGGCAGGCGGGGCGCAACGAGGCGCCCGAGTGCGGACGAGGGCAGCGCCCGCGCTTGCGGGGGGGGGGGGCGGGCAGGCCCGAGAGCCAGGCAGGGCGGAGGAGGTGGGGCAGCGGCGCCAGGCGAAGCGGGCGCAGGCAGCGTCAGGCGAAGGAGGGGCCGCCGCCCAGGGCGGAGGCAGCGGGCAGAGCAGCCCGGCAACAAAGACCTGCAGAAGCCCACCGCCTCGCAGCAGCGGGCGGGCCCGGGAGCGGCGGGGGGGCGGCGAGGCGGGCAGGGGCGGGGCGGGGGGCCGGGCGGGGGCGCGCGGCGGGCAGCCCGGGCCAGGGGGATGGCCGAGGAGGCGGCCAGGCGCGGGGCAGCCGTGCGGCAAGGGGCCGAGGGTGGGCGGCAAGACCAGCCCGCGCTCGGCCGGGCGCGTCGAGACGAGCCATGTGCACCCCGAGTGCGGGGCGGCGCATGCAGGACGAGAGGGGTTCAGGAGAACCTGGTCGACGAACGGCAGCAAGGAGACGGATGGGATCGGCGGAGGCCGACCCAGAGGGGCACAAGGTAGGGGCAGGTAGCCCCGACGAGGCGCATGGTCAGCTCATACACGTACACAGATACATACACAGATACATACACATACACATACACATACACATACACATACACATACACATACACATACACATACACACATACACATACACATACACATACACATACACATACACATACACATACACATACACACACATACACATACGCATACAAAAACACATACACACAGAGGCACGCACGCACGCACGCACGCACGCACGCACGCACGCACGCACGCACACACGCACACGTGCACACAAGCATACACGCACACAAGCGCACACGCGCACACGCGCACACGCGCACACACGCAAACACGCACACGCACGCACAAACATACACACACATACGTACATACACACATACATACGCGCTCGAAATCTGGCGGCATAAACAAAAACGCGATGGGTGACCAATCCCAGAGATCTGGGCGCTGCATGTTGTTCATACTGGGCGTTTCCGCCCGGCCTCGCAGATCGATCCAGCTCAAGAAATGCACAAGACAGATGGGGCCTACGGTCAGGGCTTCTTGTCGTGATTGTCCAGGTGTTGCAATGTTTGCGCCACGTCGGATATCGGGGGACGACCCAGGTTTAGGTCGGGCCTGTCCCCCTACAGGCGGATTGTGGGCAAAAAATTAACAATACAAAAAAGTATCCCAAATAGCAAAACACATGCTCAAACATTCGTCCCCAGGCAGCCCCGCCCCATTTTGGCGCACCCCTCACACGGCTCGTGGCCCCACAGGGAGCTCCACCGAAGGCCTCAGTGGCAAGGTTCGCATGGCGGCCGCGCCACATTTTGGCGCACCCCTTACACGGCTCGTGGCCCCATAGGGAGCTCCACCGAAGGCCCCAATGGCAGGGTTCGCATGGCGGCCCCGCCTCATTTTGGCGCACCCCTCACACGGCTCGTGGCCCCATGGGGGGCTCCACCGAAGGCCCCAGTGGCAAGGTTCGCATGGCGGCCCCGCCACATTTTGGCGCAGCCCTCACACGTCTCGTGGCTCCACAGGGAGCTCCACCGAAGGCCTCATTGGCAGGGTTCGCATGGCGGCCCCGCTCTATTTTGGCGCACCCCTCACACGGCTCGTGGCCCCATGGGGGTTTCCACCGAAGGCCTCAGTGGCAAGGTTCGCATGGCGGCCCCGCCCAAGTTTGGCGCACGCCTCACACGGCTCGTGGCCCCACAGGGAGCTCCACCGAAGGCCTCAGTGGCAGGGTTCGCATGGCGGCCGCGCCACATTTTCGCGCACCCCTCACACGGCTCGTGGCCCCATGGGGGTCTCCACCGAAGGCCCTGGTGGCAGGGTTCGCATGGCGGCCCCCGTGGCCCAATGGGGGGGTCCGCCGAAGGCCCTGGTGGCAGGGTTCGCATGGCGGCCCCGCCCCATTTTGTAGGGAGCTCCACCGAAGGCCCCAGTGGCAGGGTTCGCATGGCGGCCCCGCCCCATTTTGGCGCACCCCTCACGCGGCTCGTGGCCCCATGGGGGGCTCCACCGAAGGCCCCAATGGCAGGGTTCGCATGGCGGCCCCGCCCCATTTTGGCGCACCCCTCACACGGTTCGTGGCCCCATTGGGACTTCCCCTTGCTTCGTCCCACATGCCCTGCGGTTCTCACACTTGCGTATGGTTGGATCCTTCGCCAGGATCATTCTTTTACTGACTGGGAGTCTCTGACCGCCACGGAGCGCCCTCGTGGCCACGACTGGATCCACTTCGAAATTCTGGCAAGACCGCAACCCAGAAAAGGTCGGGGGGGAGCTGGGGCTCCAGATCTGCGACGACCGAAGTGTTTCGATCCCGGTGTTTTTTTCAGTAAGCTGCTGGGACATCTGCGGATTGAAAAAGTTGGGGACCCAGACCTCCAACGTGCTGCAAGATTCAGTGCGATGTGTGTATCGGTTTTCGGCCTCTGGGGGCCCTCGCCGGGCCTCGGGGCCGTCAATAAACAGCTCAAGATGAAGAATCGGCCATGGAAAGCTGGTCGGAACTTTTGGAGCTCCCGCATTCAGAAGCTCAGTACATCGGATGCCTGGGCACCTCCAATGTAGCGCTTGTTCCTCTCTATCTGGGCCTCCCAGGAGCGTTTCTGGACCTTGGACCGTGGGGCCGTTTATTTTTGTGTCTTAAGGTGCGACCGCGGCGCTGTGTAGGTATCCTTGTGGTCTAGCCAGTCAAATATATAAACCACGCACAGCAGCGACATGACCTTTGACGATTGATTGACGCACAATCCGCTGCCCCACTCAGCGGCCGTGCACTGTAGAGGCCGGCCAGGTAAACGTCACCACTGTGAACGGACCGTGGGGCCGTAATGTTCGGGTTCGAAATCTGAAGCTACCGCCAGGGAGGGTGTCGGGAGCGCTGGGGCCGCGGATTTCAATATCAGGTCGACCGACTTTTCTGGCGAGAGCACACGGAGTCGAGCCTCGGGGATCGAGCTTCGAGGCTAGAGGGCCAAGGTGTGTTGCGTGTTTTCTCCAATCAGGCCTGGGGGCTTTCCGTGTTTATACGACACTAATCGGTGCCGGACGTGGTCGCGCCAGGGTTCCTCCGGATTCCTGGTCCTCCCGCAGTCTTGTTTCCTTACAAGGGGTTCCCCAGGGCTCTTTTGTCTACAAGGCCTTGCCAGGGCTCCTTGGCTCCTTGGTATTGGTTCCATCGATACTTGGTCTTGGTTCCTTGTTTCCTCTGTCTTCGTTCCTTGGTTCCTTCCTTGGTTCTTTGGTCGTGGCTCCTTGGTTCCTTGGTCTCGGTTCTGTGGCTCCTTGGTCTTGATCCCTTGGTCCTGGCTCATGAGCTCCCGAGTCTTTGCTCCTTGCCGCCTCGCCACGCAATGCCAAGCCAAGCAATGCCAAGCCATGCCAAGTAACGAAAGGCAGTGCCACGCAATGCCAAGGCATGCCAGGGAGCACAGAGCAGTGCCACGCAAGGCCAGGCCATGCCAGGCCAGGCCATGCCACGCAGCGCCTAGCCATGCCGAGTCAATACGCCAAGCAATATGCCGAGCAGGGCGAACCTATGCCGCGCAGTGGGCCCACGCCATAGGAGGCTCCCTCCCGATCCGGAGCCTGTTTTTCTCATTACCCGCGATAACGGGCGTGATCGGGGGGGGGGGGGGGCGTCGGCCCCCCTCCATCACATCACGGCGGGCCTCGGCCTCCTGGGGCCCTTTTCGAGCCCCCGGGCCCTCGGGAGGAGGAAGATAAGAAAAGGGGAGAGGGAGCAGAGGAGACGGACCCCCGAGGAGGAGGACCGGGAGGATCCCCGAGGCCTCCCCCTCCCCGTCTTTCACGTGTCCCCAGCGCGACCCAGTGGGTCGCGCTGGGTCCACTCAGGAATTCTGGTGCAGGAGAGACGCCTCACCGTCGCGGCGGTATTCCCCTCGAGACTCCGGCCGTGTCCGGCGGTCGGCCTGCGAGCTCCTGGTCCAGGGCCTCTCGCGTCGCGGGGGGGGGGGGGGGAACAGGAAGGGGCCCAGGGACACACAAAGAAAT